TTTTCCCTTGCAGAAGTTATGGGCGGTATTGTATATTTTTATGAGGTAATTACGGCAAATTCCGGACATTCAATGTTTTTCCAGTCCTAGCGCATGAAATTAAACAAAACCTACCTTCATGACCTAGGATCGAGAGCTTATCCTCGAAAAGAAAAAATGCTCTATGGCGATGTGGCAAATGTTGGAAGAGCTCCATATTGTAGATAAAGAGCTGTTTTGCGATAAAGGGACAACGTTGATGAGGATCTTAGGATGGTAATGAATGACGGGGGATTGATGATGTAAAACATTTTTTTTATCTTCGCATTTTCCTGCTTACGCAGGGTTTGATGATGTAATGCATGTAGTGATTTATTTTGTGCTAGATTTATAAGAAGCTGTGAACAATCACTTCGCATACTGCATTATGAATAACCATCAACTAAATTATTATAAAGCATGCTTTCATAAATGAGTTGATAAAAGAGAACACCACTAACACCAGTCACTTACCACGTAAACAACGTAAACACGTTATTAACAATAATTAATATCAATAGAATGATTTTTTGCCAACCAAGTCCAACAATGTTGCGTTTAAATTCTTCACTTAGTCATATGCACTCCTTAATGCACCCTCTCCCATACGTTTTAGGTTACCGAATCGCAACTTCTAGATTGTATTGCTATGAAAAAAATAACGCGGATCTCCAATAGACTGTTTAGTTTCAAATTAACGACAATTTCCAAAACTTTAAATCCAATATAACTCACAACTCCGATCGCTCGCCCAATTCCCCTCTCCACCCTCTCTCCTTGTGCTTATCGCCTGCACAAGCTCCTTCCTATGTCACCTATCAGTAGTTCCCAAAATCCTGCAAACGGCGTTAATTTTAGCAGAGATATTCCGTAGTTACATATTTGAACATAATGTAAAGAAGAAGAGGAGAAGGGAATAAGAGAAACGAACTGAACTGATGATGCTAGGATAAGTACTCAATGTGAGTAATGTTGTCCCTCCTCCAAATAAGAGGTAAAATATGATTATGAGGTGGAGGTAATAGTGCTAAACAAAAGCTTAAGGAGGTGAGGCTTTCTCTTCGATAAAGATTTATGACTAGCTCAGCAATGTATACCGTTGCAAGCTTAAAAGTTCTTCAACTTTCAAAAATTATTCTCGTTTCTCTAAATCCCTTCTTAATTGAATTACTTAATTGCATTTGAATTAGCGACGTCTTCCTGTTGATCCTTTAGAGGGCATAATAGAATGAAGCAATTCATGCATTTGACTTAGAATCACTACCTTAGAATCTATTCAAAGCCACATTTTTGCAGGAATCACACACAATCCGTTAGGTTCTTCACTTTGTGACCTATCTCAGCTACTCAAGATTGCATTGCAATTTCGTAGCAACAGAATCCGGCTGAGTATGGCGTAATTTAGCTAAACAGTGTAGTGCTTGAATTCTTCTGCAAAATTTACTAGGGCTAACATCTTTGCATCGTTTGTTTTTCTATGAAAGTGTAACAAAATAAGTCTTTCTCCTCCTTAATTCTAAAACTAACACGTACCAGAATTTTCAAGACTTGGAAGTGCATGCAACATTTGTTCTGTAAGATTTGATGGAAATCAAATCTTCTACCTTTATGTCCCTTGTCATTTATACTTCGCACGTCATAAATACTAGATAATTTGGTGCTATCTATAAAAGATACCGTTAATGGTCCTTGATCTCTGAACAGGCTTTTTTAACTTATATTCAGCGACAACTTCAACAATAGAAATTTAAAATAACAATTTGTTATTGATGTAAAAAGAATGCGTACAAACATATTCTAATAACATGTACTGTTGTATGCTTAAATATATCTCAACTGTTTCACTTTAATTTATCATGGATCTCTCTAAGTTATTGGAGCAAATTAGAAATCAGCAACATGCGAGAGGTACCGAAGTTCCATCTGCACAAATCTTTTCTGTTTTATTTACAGATTTGCTTTTATTAGAGGAGCACGTAAATGATTTATTCTAACATTCTCGTTACAATATCAATTTCCTTGACAGAAACAGGCGAACATGAGTGTTCAGCGAAAGGAACGCAAATGCACTGCAAAGCTACCCCTACTTTTTATACGAAAGAAAAGTTTCAAGAACAGCAAAGTTCAAAATGTAGGCAATTGTCATCATTTTTGCAAACACAGCACTGTAACATCAGGCGGCAGATTTTGGAGCCATTCTGGGAGCCGTTTAATTTGAAATTATTTATCATTTCAGAAATATCCTTTTGCTGACTGTGAA